TCAGCAGGGTATTGAATGTCAACTAACAGTACACGACTCACCTCAGCAGAACGGTGTGGCGGAACACCTCAATCGCATGCTGGTAGAACACGCCCGCACCATGCTAATTGCAAAAGACTTGCCAAAGTACCTGTGGGCCGAGGCGGTTAGTTACACAACCTGGTTGAAGAACCGACTCCCCTCCTGTGCAACCCCTGATACTACGCCCTATGAAATCATTCAACATGCAAAGCCAAGCCTGGCACAAGTGCATGAATTCAGAACAAAGGTGTATGTACATCTCCTGGAAGCAGAGAAGTTGGAAGCGAGGGTGGAAGAGGCTATATTTGTGGGGGTAGACATTGAGAGCAAGGGATATAGGGTCTATTGGCCGATCAAGCAACAAATTTCCGTGGAATGCAACATCATGTTTGCACTGACAGAAGTCATAGTGGGCGAGGATGTCATGGACAAGAGGGAGCCAAACAGCTCCGCCGCTGTGAGCGATGTCACCACCAGTCCCAGCAACGCAGAGAGCATCCAGACCATCCCTCAACCACCCTCTACTCCACCCAGGCCAACCACCAAGCGATCTATCATGCCACTGCCACCGCCACATGTCATGCAAAATGAACCTCTTCCTGGGTACTATGCAAGACTACAGGAAGGAGAGATGGTGTCAGTCATGATCAAATCCTTGCTAGAAGCATCTGAATTGGACTTACTAGATGAAGACTCCCATATCCATATTGCTTTGGCAGCCGCAGAGCCAGAACCAACCTTGCAACAAGCCTGGAATGGCCCAGATGGAGTTGAGTGGCAGGAAGCCCTGGATTATGAAATCAGCCAGCTTGAGAAGCTTGGGACATGGGAGATAGTAGATGCACCTCACAGCACCAATCTAATCCCATGCCATTTTGTTTTAGCTACCAAGTGTGGTCCTGACAGGGAGAAACTCAAACTCTGGGCTCGTTTAATTGCTAATGGTCAGAGACAGCAGTATGGTGTCGACTATTTCGACACGTTCGCGCCAACCACCAACATGAGCACCATTCACACAGTTTTGACGATGGCCACACAGAGAGACTGGGAGATACATCAAGTTGATATCAAAAGTGCATACCTCTATGCGAGCATCCAGGAGGAAATCTACATGAGGGCACCGCCTGGCTATCTGAAGGATGGGCAGCAAGGAAAGGTCTTAAGGTTGCTGAGAAGCTTACCTGGGCTGAAGCAAGCAGGCTTCGAGTGGGCAGAAGAGTTAGCAGGCATTTTCACGAAGCTGGGCTTTATGCGATCGAAGGTCAACCAGGCAGTCTACTTCAAACGTGCCAAGAACAAACACATTGTCATCACCATATCTGTCGATGATATGGCCATCACTGCCAACCACATCACCCACATCAAGCGCTTTAAAGCGCAGCTGCTTGAATTCTTTGAGATATCGGACCTAGGGGAGCTTAACTGGTTGTTAGGACTTAAGGTAATGAGAGACCGCGAAGCACACACCTTGACTCTATCCCAGAAGGCCTACATGGACATCATAGTTGACCGTTTTTACCTAGGGGATGCGAAGAGCACATTAACACCAATGGAACCAGGTGCGATCCTATCTATTGATCAGTCTCCCAGTACAGCAGCGCAGCTAGATGCAATGTGAAACATACCATATCAACGAGCCATTGGATCTCTCATGTACGCAGCCACCAGCACGTGACCTGACATCGCATTTGCAGTCGCCACCCTGTCGCAGTTTATGGGCAACCCTGGTAGGACCCACTGGGAAGCCACCAAGCGTGTGTTGCGCTACCTGAAGGGAACTGCAGATTTCAAACTTACCCTTGGTTCCACAGATGGAGGTATTGAGGCATTCGTCAATGCCAACTGGCATTGCAACCTCACAGACACTCGATGTCTGGATATATTGTCATGCTGAATGGCGGTCCCGTTGTGTGGAGTGTGCGGAAGCAGCCACTCATCATGTTGTCTACTGCAGAGGCTGAGTACATCGCCCTGACAAGTGTCGCGAAAGAAGTACTTTACCTTCAGTTCCTCATTGGAGAGTTCTATGAACCAACCCCACTCCCTACCCCCATCTTCTGCGACAACCAAGTGGCAATAGCGCTTGCGTCTAGGCAAAAGCACAGGTATGGGTAACCCGCACGGGTCACAGGTAAGGGTACTGGCAGGTATGGGTGTGGGTTAGGATTACCTGACCCATGCTCTAACCTGGACCCATGCCATACCTGTGCCTTTGTTGATAGCCTAGTGCAAATGAAGTTCAGAGGTACTGTACATGTCAAACTCCAATGTACAATTGGGAAAGGTCTCAACATAAGTTATGAGCCCACTTGCAAAACTTGAATTCACCAAACTCTCGCTGTCACCATGCACACATCTAACACTGCTAAATGAGTACCCAAGATCTCTGTCAAAGCCAAAGCTGCACTGGAAGCCACAGCATCCAAGAAATGAAAAGCTACTTCAAATGGACTCAGAGATAGCACAAAGACACAACCGAAGAAGGTAAAAACCAACCCACCCACTGGAAGCACTCTCACCAGTGAGGAGACGGCACACAAGAAGCTCACAACACCTTCTAAAGATAGCTCCCCAACATTGTTGACATCATTACCTGCACAAAGTCATATTAGCCTTCCTGCAAGGTCCTCATCACGTTGTGCTTCTGTCATGAGTGAAGAAGAAAATGCCTTACATGCTGGGAGCACAATTATCCATGTTGGTCTTGATGGCAGTGAAACTGAGAGCCAAGCTGGCAGTGAGGCTCTGCAAGACTACGCCAACAATGCGAGTGCTGAAGAAGATGCAGAAGATGCAGAAGCTGAACTCGGTATGATCCTGTAAAAAGCAACCATAGTCAAAATCTGATGTGATGAAATCTAGTGAGACTCACCAAAGATTGGACTGCTCCCATTCATTCCTTCTTCAACCCCATTCCTGTGATTGGCCACATCAACAGATAAAGATTCCATGCATTCAGTCGCTGCGCAAAAGGGTGCAACCAATCAATTTGTCGTTTCCTTGATAAAGCAGACACAAAGTCCACAAGCAATATGCGGAAACACGCTAAAAAATGCTGGGGAATGGAGACAGTCAAGATTGTCGATAAAGCCAAGAACGCAACAGTGGCACGAGAATTGATTATCGAACCTCTCTGTACAACAGGTTCAATTACAGCAGCTTTTGAAAGGAAGGGGAAGGGGAAGGTAACATACTCACACAGACAGCATACCAAAACCGAGAGTCGAGCCAAAATAGTGCAATGGGTATCTGAGAGCGTGTGGCCATTTAAAATTGTTGAAGACTGTGGCTTCCAGTCATTGATGAAAACAGGGCGGCCTGAGTGTTATATCCCATCAGCATCAACAGTGTCACACGACGTCAAGCTCATTTTTGCACGAACATGCAAATGAATTGCTAGGATGCTGCAGGTATGTCAATGACAGCGTGCACCACACAAACAACTCACTCCTGATAGAATTACGAGGGCAATCTCAACTTTGCTACTGACACCTGGACATCTCCAAATCACAAAGCATTTGTTGCTGTGTCTGTCTACTTTGAGCAAGACGGACAACCTTTCAGCTTGATACTGGATGTCGTCGAAGTGGCAAAGTCCCATAGTGGAATCAACCTTGCAGAGGCATTTGCAAATATACTGCAAGATTTTGGCATATCAGACAAGGCATGTGTGATACAATCAATGCGTTGAATTAAAATTGACACTCACAAAGATTCTGAGCATTATATGCGATAACGCATTCAACAATGACACAATGGTCAATGAGTTGAGTGATCTACTGGAGGACTTCCCAGGAGAAACGAATAGGACATGATGTTTCCTTCATATCGTCAATCTCATTGCCAAAACATTGATCCGACAGTTTGACGTACCTAAAGCAAAAGCAGACACCATGATGGATGAAGCAGAACAACAACTTCAAGATCTCGCAAAGGATATTGATATTGATGAATTGGGACCAAACGAGAGAGATGACAAAGAGAATGACAATATTGAGGGATGGGTTGATGAGATGGAGCAACTGTCAGTGTGCGAACGCCAGGCTGTGCGAAATAGTGTTGGACCTATACAATTTGTCCTTGTAAAGGTTGAAGTGTGTCATATCCCATACCTCCGGATCCGGAATTCCGGAACCCCACCACTAAAGTCTGTTCCTCCATCCTGTTATTTCACCTGGCACTCCGCTCTCATCTCCGGACTCACCCCTATCTCCTTTTAGAATAGCTATTGCTCCAGTTACTGGTTATGTCCTTTTCCGCTATGCTTACTGATCTGTCCATTCTTACTTCATTTCTGACTTCACTGCTTTGATCCATTACACTTACTAATAGACTTGCCACATGCTTCATACATAGCCCTTACTTTGCTGACTGATTTACTTACGTGATACCTACAGTATATAAACTCCTGTAATACTCCAGAACTCCTCAGTTCGAATATCATCTTAGTTCTGCTCATTCCTGCATCTCTGGACTTGAGTCTCATCTCTTGTCTACCTCTGAGTCTTAGGGGTTAAACCTTAGGACTAATTCTCCAGCTCTACCTTAGGGTAGTCTACACTCTGTTCCATTTCTACTCCGGACTTGTCCGTAGTAGTCTTACTCTGTTCTCTCATAGTCTTCCAGAGTTCTGCTGAACTCCCTTGACGTCTGACCTCCGGACTTCCCAGACTTCCGTCAGACTTCCCCTCTGCCCCTCGGAAATTAAGGGCACATACTCAGGTAAGGGGTGCAGCGCACGAGCTGAAGACGAAGCCCTTTGAGTAGTCTTTCCCTTGAGCACGACCTTAACAAAGCGGTTTCCTGCTTGTAACAAAACAAAGTACTCACCTTTGTTGTAGCTCCGTAAACTAGCCTTCAAGATCATCCACTTGACAACCAAACTTCTTCCAGCATGGTACAATGTTCTCAAGAAGTGCAAACTCAGTCAGCGCATCATGCCACATGACGTTGTGACCCGATGGAACTCAACTTTTGATATGCTCACCTTTGCCCTTAAGTATCACGAAGCTATCAATATGATTTGTGCTGACAAGAACATGGATCTTTGGGACTATGAGCTGAGTGAGAAGGAATGGGAGCTTGCACAACAATTGTGTGATGTTCTAAAGGTAAGCTCTCCATTCTCATATTGAAGTTCAGCGCTAACAGAACATAATACTAGATACTCAAGGACACAACACTCTTTTTCTCTCGATCGACGCCAAATCTCACAACCGTCATCCCTGCAATGGACATGATCGACAGAAAACTCACAACAGATTCTATCATGCGCACTTATGAGCCAGCTATTCGAGCGTCACTCGGACTGGCAAAGAAGACACTGAACCACTACTATAGTATGACTGACTGGTCAGAGGTTTATCGGATTGCGATGGGTAAGTTTTCTGTCATTCTGTCTTACTTTACAAGTGTGCTTCACTGATGCTGACACCACTTCCAGTACTGCACCCTTGACACAAACTATCATATTTCAAGGAGGCTGGATGGGGAGCTGAATGGATTCACACCTCAGTGAGTATCATTCACGAGGAGTTTGAGCACTCTTACACAACCACTACTAACAACGCTGACTTGTATGATGCTGTGGATGAGGACGAAGTCCAGGAAACATCAGTGGTATGTATTGTCTTGTCTAACTTTACTGTTTTCTCACCATTTTTTAACCAGCCTCAGCAAAAAGCTCATAACATATTTGACAAACTTCCAGCGTTAGCGGCACCCAAGCGGTCAGAGCTCTGTGACGAGCTCAATTCATACCTCAGCACAAATCCGGAATATGTTGCAGACGTCTTAGCTTGGTGGACCAAATGGAAATCAATGTATCCTCGACTCTCCCGAATGGCCTTAGATTATCTGTCAATTCCTGGTGAGTTTTTTTATCAGCCTCGCATCTGTCGGCAACTCATCTCACTTGTTGTTATATGTAGCAATGTCAGTCGATGTAGAGCAAATTTTTAGCCATGGCCGCCTCTTGTTATCTCATGTCCGCAGTTGCCTATCTGCCCAGTCTATTCGTGCATTACTTTGCTTAGGTTCATGGAGTCTTTTAGGGTTGGTCAAAGACCAAGATGTTATGACTGTTGCTGTGATGCCTGAGGTAGTTGGTGAAGAGAACGAGCTTGACGACGGATGGGATTTGATTTGATTGTAGTTCTTATTACCAGCAGTTTACATGTATAGTTGAATTTGGGTGCATACCCATAGTACACCTGAATACCTGTGGACCCATACCCAAACCCATACCCAACAACACGGGTCTAGTTCCACACGGGTATGGGTGCGGGTACAGCATGGAATATCCATGGGTTACCCGTGCTATTGCCTACTCAGCATTGGGATAAATTGATGAGGAACAAAGTTGGCAAAACAATTGCAACATGCAACTCAAACAGGATCATAATCAGCAAAATGAATACCACAAGGTTCTATACAAAATGCAAAATGGCCAAGCTCATTGACTGATATGCACAAAGTTTCCCAACATTTCACAACCATGCACATCTAACTTTCTGATAAATCCAAGGTGTTGTTAATTCAAACTTGCACTCCCCTGGCCTTCCTTGTGCATCAGTAAAACTTACTTAATCAGACTTTTTTGGACTTTTCGATGGTCATCACTTCTTTTCAAAAATGAGTGGCCTTTTTTCAATTTTTTTTCTTAATTCACTGCCTAATCCAAACCTATGTATTCCAATATCTTTTATAAACCTAAGAGACATGTTTAAAAACATAAAAACAGAAATTTGATACTAGTAAGTGGCACAAAGTACTAATAATTTTTATTTTCAAATCCTCTCCTGAAGTGGTAATCTTTACAAATTGTGAACTCCAACCATTGCAACAGATGTGAATAATAGTGGGACTCAGAGTAGTTTTTGGGACACTCACTAAAGTTCGCTAAAGTTCGCTAGAGTTCTACTAACCCCAATAGAGCTGCAAGGATCAGCCACCAACACACACACGAGACATGTGGCACACCTCGGCATCATGGCAGACTTCAAAAAACATGCCTGCTACTCGACCACCACCTCGTTGTTGTTCTGCGCACCTCAAGGCCTTGCAGAGACTCTCTCGAAAGGACCCGAACATCATGGACCACACCCAACGAGCTGTTACCTGCGTAAAACATATTTTAAATAAAATACTTATTTAACAATTTAGCTGATAAAATTCAAAGTGCAAATCTTGGACGATTTTCCCTGGTACGATGACATTGCTTCCATCAGAGGGACAAACCCAGCATTATCACTCAATGTCACCTCATCACAACCTGGATCAGATCATGCATCAAAATTCTTTTCACTCCTACATCCAGCAGGGAGCACTCATTCAAGTTCAAGGAATGCTCAGTCCTCTTCTAGTGCTCAGTACAGTGGTCATGTTGCCGGTGCTCAGCCCGCTCCCCCCAGCACTCAGTCTTCTTCCAGTACTCAGTATGGCGGCCATGTCACTAGTGCTCAGCCTGCTCCCCCCAGTCCTCAGGCTTCTTCTGGTGCTCAGCCCACTCCCTCCAGCACTCAATCTTCTGGCGCTCAGTACAGTGGCCATGCCGCTGGTGCTCAGCCCACTCCCCCCAGCGCTCAGTCTTCTTCTGGTGCTCAGTATGGCGGCTATGTCGCTGGCGCTCAGCCTGCTCAGCAGTATGACACTGAGCACCATCAATTTAGGTGTCCCCCCAGCAGTAAGCCCCTTCAGTTTGGTGCTCTTCCCCCTCAGTTTTACTATGACCCTCAACCCCCCCAGTTTGGTGCTCAGCCCCCTCAATTTAACAATCAGCCCCCCCGGTTTGACTATGGCACTCCATCCCCCCAGAGTACACATCCCCCTTGCGGTGTGCCCCCCCACTCTCAATTTGCGCCTCCCCCCAATATCATTGATCCATCTCTTGATGACGACGACAGCAGCAATCTTGATGATGGGGGGATGGACTTCGGCGGCTATGAATTGGACAGTCACGCAACATGGGATTACAGTGAGCAGAATGGGATTGCTGTGAGCCTGGACAGCCCACCCAGGCCCAAAATTACTAGAACCAAACGGCAGCTCCCTCCATCATCTCCGTCACCTCCTATCACTCCCCCACTGCAATTTTTTAGTTATCCCGACAAAGCGGTGACTTCGTTATATGACAGTTGCTCTGCCTTCAGACCGACCAATCCAATGAGATGCACAAGCACCAGGTCACTCAAGTCCCCTCTTCCTATTGGAGGCTGTACTACTTCTGCAGGCTCTTCGTGGCAGTCCACACCCACGTCGTCATCATCAGCGCCAGTGTCAACAATGCCCACATCACAAGCATCATCATCCAAGAAAGGCAAGCAAGTGAAGAAGCAGCAGTCAGAACTTCAAGAGCGAGTTGAGGGGATTCATGACGAAATTGAGAGTATGCAGTCAGACAGGTTGTCCCAAGGAGCATCAGTTCCTCCATGAACAGCGCATGCAGGAGTGCATGGAAGCTGTTGCCGTCCATCAGCGTGCTCAGGAGGCGATGGCTATGAAGATCCGTCTACGTGAAGCAGAGGTCAGTGCACACAACGCAATGAAGGAAGCACACAACGAGGAGGCAGCAATGTTACGTCTTAAGATCAAGTACTGTCAACTTACCAATGCTGGCGGTGTAGATGGGTCTTAATGGTGTGCGTGTTGCTTGCTGCTGGTTGCTAGTTGCTGCTGTATCTCATTGTTATGATTGTTCTTGTCGCAATGCTGACTATCATGCTACTATCATGCTACTACATATGTTTCATACTGTGTTACCTTTACATCTTTGTTGTCTTCTGCTGATATTCTCATAGACTCCATTGCTAATGAACTATGTTTGCCTTGTGAATGAAATTGTGTGAAAGGTTCTATGTAAGTCCTAAGTTGCCTATCCTTGTCTATGCCTTGCATTTGAGTTGGGGCTGTCAAATAAGAGATCCATCAACCTTGCATGACAAACCTGACCTGGAGTGCCATCATACATACACTCCATTGTTCTCTGATCCATTACCCTCAACATCTTGTTGCATAAAACCCTTGGCCTCTTTACAAGCCCATTTTGTTGAACTTTTTGTCCCATGGTATTCTTCAAACCGAATAATCATGTTATGGAGTATGAGGCAGCATTGAATCCAACAGATAGCCAGTTGAAGGTCATCTGCAGAATTAATATTCTGTCGAAGCTCTCGAAGGGATTGAAACCACCCTTTCAGAGCAGCAAATGCGTGTTCAACTCGTACACGGACCTAAATAAATTTAAAATTAGAAAACACTGCATTAAAAATTGGAGTGGGGAGGGGGAGGGGGAGGGGGAGGGGGGAAGGGGAAAAACAAACTGTAGAAAGGTGATAATTAAATGACCTCTGATTCTTTGTCAGACTTCCATTGTGGGGCTTCTTGAAGGGGGGGATACACCATGTCTCCACTGGATAAGCACTGTCTGCCCAGACCCAGTGGTTATCTGGAAGAAGGGTGTCGTGTTCTCAATAGAGACAGGTGGATCTGAAAGCATATGCATCATGGACACTTCCAGGGTGACCAAGAGAATAATTGACTATAAGAAGATTGTGAGGCATAATAGCTGCCTAGAATTAAATTAAAATTTTGAATCATAGACAAAGAAAGACAAAGCTTACTTGACAGCCAAGGGAATATCTTGATTTCCTATTATAAAAAACCTCACCATGAAAACCAGGTTTTCATACAGATTAATTGTTGTCCCATCAACAGCTAGAATCCCATTCTGCCACTCAGGGCAAACTGTCTTTCCAACAAAATCCTAAGCAAGCTGGAAATCCTGTGAATCAGGTGGAGGAAAGCCCATGAATGCATCATGCTGATCAAGCAGGGCAACTATTACACGATTAGTGTAATTAACAACTGATCCAACACTAACACCCGCCCATTGAGCCACATCCTCCAGAGATATGGTGTTACCGTAGTGGCCAGCACGGTTAAGAAAAATAGGAAGTTGTATAGCAATGGGAAGCTGAGAGTTGTGTGAGTTGTTGTGAAAAATGGGATGGTCAGAGATTAGATCCAGGATGTTGTCAAAGATTTCTGGGTCGACGCATAATTTTTGCCGAAATAAGTGAGGACGGTGTTCCTCAAAATGAACAAGAAGGTGCAGCTGTGGGGCTCATAGGGGAGGTTCATCAGGCCTGTAGAGTACACGTGCTCTTTCTACCGCATCCCAGAGAGCCTCAATGGAGTCTCGAATCTGGTCATAATAGGCAGTAAGATGATCAGCTTCATCTCCAGATGAGTCAGAGTCCAAAAAGTCACTATTTGAGTCATTGGAGAAGAATGGGGAAAGAGGCAAAGGAGGGGTAATCACAATGTTCATGAAAGAGTCGCTGAGATCTGATTCCAAATCTGAAGAGCTTGAGATGGAGTCCATAGATTTATCATCTTGTACCAAGGCATGCTGATATGCAGCCCTAGCTAGTGAGAGTGCAGCCTGGTCAATTTCATGCAACATATCTGTCCACCTGGATAGACAAGGCATGGTGAAGGTCGAGGGGGATCAATTCCCCTATCTCCTGCTGCACATATAACTGATTACAATGTAAATTAGGGCGGAGATTTAATTTCCAGGTTGTTCCAGACCTTTTGTTTCATCCCTCAGATGACCATGGTAGGTGTCCTTGAAGACTCAGATCTCACCCTGGCACCTCACACGCAATGCCGACTACAAATTCAGGAAGCTGTCGATGGATATGGACACAAGGTGTGTGCACCTCCAGCACCTTACCACCCTTTGCCCTAATCATCACCCCACAGCCTTATCAGGCTGCCGGTGCAATCTTTTCATGGATCTCAGCTGGGCTTAACTGCTCAGTACCCTTCCCCCAGTACCCTCACTTTGACTCTACTTCACCCAACACCACCTCATCACAACCCAGATCAGATCATGCATCAAAATTATTTTCACTCGTACATCCAGCAGGGAGCACTCATTCAAGTTCAAGGAATGTTCAGTCCTCTTCTAGCACTCAGTACAGTGGCCATGTCGCTGGTGCTCAGCCCACTCCCCCAGCACTCAGTCCTCTTCTAGCGCTCAGTACAGTGGCCATGTCGCTGGTGCTCAGCCCGCTCCCCCCAGCACTCAGTCTTCTTCCAGTGCTCAGTGCAGCAGCCATACCACTAGTGCTCAGCCTGCTCCCCCAGCGCTCAGTCTTCTTCTGGCGCTCAGTATGTCAGTCCTCTTCTGGCGCTAAGTACAGCAGCTATGTTGCTGGTGCTCAGCTTGCTCAGCAGTATGACACCCAGCGCCTCCAGCTTGGGTGTTCCCCTGGTGCTCAACCCCCAGCCTCCTCAATTTGACATTCTTCTTACTCATCCTTGCATGCTCCACCCCCTCCCCACTTTCACTTTGTGCTTCCCCACTCCTTTCATTTGAGGACTCCTTATCACTTTGCTAGACTTCTTTTTTTTCGGCATTTCTTTTGATTTAGTGGGTTCAGGTATGGAGTAAATTAGCTATGTTGTCCCTATTCCTCTTTGCTACACACCCATTTGCTATCAAACACACCCTCCGAACTTTGTAGTGCATGCAAGCCTCGCAAATACACAAGTGTCGTTTCTAAGTCCACCATCATGCCAATGTGTGCCGAGTGTGTTGGTGGCTGATCCTTGTAGCTCTATGGGAGTTCTGTAAGACTCTAGCGAACTTTAGCGAACTTTAGCGAGTGTCCCAAAAACTACTCTGAGTCCCACTAATAAACTACTCCTGACAGCATGTGCAGAGCCTATCCTAATTCGGGTGAATGTTAAGACTGTGCTCAGGGGTAAAGCGGAGTCTGAGGGGCTTGGCTTCAGCTCATGCGCTGCGCCCCTTACCCGAGTATGTGCCCCTAATTTCAGAATGTAGTCCGACACGAGTTCTATGAGTTCTGACAGGACATCGGAATGGGGGTCCTCTGAAGGAGGACCGACAGACTACTAGGTGAGTGCGGGAAAGTCAGGCGGGGGTTGTTCCGCCCGACAGGAGGGAGGCGGGAGACTACTGCAGTCGGAACCAGCAGTAGAAGCGGGGCAGAAGGAACTGCTTGGACAAAGTCCAAAGCAGAGCAGAACAGAGGGGACAGATGCGAGAGTGCGGGGTCTAGTTCTGATGCACGGGAAGTTGGAGGAGTGGAGGGATGGAGGAATGGGGGAATGGGGGAATGAGGGAATGGGGGAATGGGGGAATGGGGGAATGGAGGGTTGGAGGGTCGGAGGATTGGAGGGTGGCCGACCTAGGGAGTCAATCCCCTAGGCCGGCTAACAGGAGTTGACTAGGATCAGGCCCAAGTCAAAGAACAGAAGAGCAGGGCTTAGAAAAGGTAATATTCAGACTGAGTATCTACAGACAAATGTACATATGTTTATATACTCTAAGTGATGAGCATAGCATAGCAGAAGGCTATGTGCTGAGTGTACAGGATTACCAGAGGATGACTGAGACATACAAGAATAAGGCTCGGAGAACAGTATGTACGCAACAGATCAATAATCGCTAGGGTATAGGAATTACCGGTGATCCGAAAAGCGGAACTATGATACTAAATGGGGATAGGACCAGTTGAGTGGTTCCTAGTCTAGGAGTGGACCGGTGAGGCGGTTGGACAGACTAATAGTTGGGTGGGGGAATACAAGCGGAACTGAAGGACCCCCGTGCAGGTCAGAAAAGCGGAGGGAGTAGGAGTAGGATCAGGCGGACCGATAGGGTGGAGGAGCAGAACCCCAGGTAGGGTCGGATGGAAGGGGTATGGGGTCGGAGGACATAGGGGTAGTGTCGGAAGAGTGGAACGGGGTCGGGCGGAGGTAGCAGGGCTAATCCTGCTGAGATGCACTTCGTGCATTGTTGGAGAAGGAGGAATGGAGCGGATGGGGAAACAGGGGGTCGGACCGGGGGTGGGGATGTTCACAGGTGGTATTGAAATCAAATGTTACCTGGCGGAGTATTCGGTTGTGTTGTTCTCTCTCAAGATTGTTTGCATTTACTCATTGCTCCGTTTGGTTAGTTCTCGTCTCAAATGGAAGTGTTGGCAATTCTACAGAGGATTGAACAGTCCTCTGTGGGACCAACTGCAACTGTCCTGCTTGGCTGTGTAACATTGGTAGACGCAACAGGCAATGAACATCCAATATCGGTGAACTTCTGCACCTCATTTCAGGTCCGTCTCACCAGCGCAAACTTTGGCTTAGGGAAGCTTGCTCATCAATTTCTCTTTAGCAACTGAATAAGATGAAGCTCTGTTTGAAAGTGATTTGATTGAAGCTCGAATTCAGAGGTGTTACCTCGAAGAAGGATTGTATGATTTATGCATTGACAAGGGCACTGAAGTAACCCAACTGACAAGCCATGGATGGTCAAGCATCAAAGCAGGCATGAAAATTGTCATGAGGATCATCATCGAACAGTTGATGACATCATCCGAGTCTAGAGTTCTCTACAAATGTCATTTCTGTCGTGCTGAGAATGTCCTTGGTCTCAGGCCTATAGAGTATTCGCTTGAATGGCAGGCTGGTTGCTCGATTGATTGGTGAGTACATTCTCTTCTGGGGCCTGAAGGTGTCTAACAACCGGAAGTCAAAAATGCAAACGACGGTTTCAGGTCTCCCGTGTACCTCGCAGTGCAAAGCAGAGGACTCGATCCTCTGACATTGACTCCATTGACACGATTGATACGGAAATGCACCTCATTTGCAATTTTCACATCCAGCAAACTGTATGTTATCTTGAAACTTCAATGGTAATATTCAGCTGAATAGTTAATGATGCCCCGCCCTCAGCCAGTGCATAATCTCATGTTTTCAGCCGTTTTCCCGATGCTGATGGTGCCACGGTGATGTCCCGCTCTCAGTTGGTGCGTGATCTCATGTATTGAGCTACTAAACCGATGCTGATGGTGCCACAGCAATGTCCCGCACTCAGCCAGTGCATGATCTTGTCTTTTGAGCTACTAAACCGACGCGGATGGTGCCACAGCGATGTCCCGCTCTTAGCATGTCTGTCGTCTGTTGAACTCTTTAGCCCCTTCAACCTGGCTGCCAGGGAGACTTGCAACGCAGCACTCCTGATGCGGTGCCCATGTCCCTTTGATCAGCTCATGTCCTCTGCTGACATGGAACGTGATCTTTCAACATAAACAACGAGCACTAACCCTTCTATTCCACTGTCAGATGGTGTATTTTTCCACCTCAAGCTTTAGCGTGGCTTATTTCTGTATAGCATGTCGTAGACGCGGAGCCATTCGAGACGGAAGAGGAGAATGGAGTGGATGAAGTATACTCAGAACAGAGGATGTCGAACTAGACTGGCAGATGCAAATCTGTAAGTAGTCAAGATTGTCGCCCCTTAACCATTACACCAAAAGGCAGTGATAATGAAAGCTCATGTTTCATTATCTCGGACAGTATTTATGCTGATTATGGGAACTCAGGTAAGCCACCGGGCTTACAAAATCTTATGTATCAAATTTCCCAAGACGTACTGGTCCAGACTGGTTATGAATCCAGAGTATTACACGAGTTTTCCTAGCAATTGCGTGCTGTCTCGACTGCTATATTTTAGTGCCACTTAAAAATGACAGCCCGACGACGTTTATACCATAATCTTCATACACCCTTACCCGTCATGCCTACAACTGAAGGTGGGGTTTCAGTCCGCATTTCCATCACACACTCTGACAGATCCTAAATCAGTCATTTCACCCAAAGCCACAACAGCTCTTTGAATATTTGAACAAAAGCGAAGTGTGCGTACGGACTTTTGACGAATGCATTCAAGAATATTCACCGCGGAAACGAGATTTTAGCCAGACCCTAATCAGAGGGAGACAACATATGTAACACGACTCTAAACGTACCTTGCTTGTAATCAGACATAAATCCGAGGTGTCGGAAATTTTGTTCCCTCAGCCCACAGCCACAGATGTAAACAGAGGCTGACACTCAAGCTGGGACCAGGCAGTGAATTAAGAAAAAACAATTGAAAAAAGGCCACTCGTTTTTGAAAAGAAGTGAAATCCATCGAAAAGTCCAAAAAAGTCTGATTAAGTCGAGGTTTTACTGATGCCTGGGCGACACAGGTAAGCACGCTCTCAGATTCTACCCATTCGCCAGACTGGGACACACTCGGTCATCGATGTGATTTAATTTGCAAAAAAAAACGAAGAATTGTTGCGTGTGCTGCGGGAATTGTCAATACATGACCTCACTCAAGGGTAATTATACAAAACCGTTCAACAGGCTGCTGCCTGGGGTGTAAACAATAACATTCGGGTATAAATCAAGTACAAGTGTCAAGGATAAAGTCACATCATTTCATGCTATACACACGTCTACTTCCGCTGCCTTCGCACAAGCAGAAGACGTTTAAACAATGGCTTCCTCTGGCCTCGCTATACTTTCATTATTTGATTTTCCCGTTGTGTCCGATGCAAAACCTGAGAATACTGTAATCGTAGGTGCTGCAGCAATTCGACTCGACCAATCTTGTGGATCTGTCAGGCCCCGTGCAACGCGAAGAATGATGAATAATTGAGCAATGCCCTGGGTTGACAAAGAACGAGGATCAGAGACATGGTAACTCAGGTTTTGCCTGCTTACCTGGACTTGGCAAACAGACAGGTAGCATATAGTAGTGATAGCGTTTAGATGCAGAGCAAATGACACTATGAAAATCACAGCGAAGATAGAGTATGGTATGGCAGACTCGACGACTATGATAATGACGGTGTCATAGGTGCTAGAATCATATTGGGCCGTGACCTGTTTCATCAGGCTTCGCATGGCGAGCAAACGATTCGCCACGAGAATGGTATAAATGACACCGATTCCCACTTCGATGCAGGAGTAGGCAAGTAAGACGTCGATATTGTAATATACAACACCGGTGCTCGCCTGGATCTGAACGAGAATCGATATTGCTGCTGAAGATGTCAGTGACTGGTACTGTCGCTGGTAAATGATGAACTTCACCTATCATGGCGATGTAGAGCGTGATCATAGGGATCGTCACCCATCTCGCCCAATTCCATATCACGAAACATCGGTGAAGCTATGTATACAAGGCGTCAGGCTTGCACGGAGTTCCATATGACGAACTATTCGGCTCACAAGTAGAGCTTGCATAAACCACTCCTGGATGTGAGCACTAACGAGACGAGACATTAAAACCGCTGCTCTGGAGATGTATAGGCAAAACTGCTTACGTGGAAATCGCTAGAACGTTGATAGGATAGGTCATTTGGTTCTCGATTAGATCGGCCGGGCTCTCAGGTACATCCCGAAGGTCTATCCAAATCATCTCCGTATATTTCGCGTTCGCAGCAAAGGATACCGTCCCCAATGCGAACGTGATGAATATGTAAAAAAGAAGCACGCGACGGCTTCTACCCCCATATCGAGGCTGCTGCATGACAACAATCCAGGTTTGTACTGTAAGGAAAAGGTATATGCCTATTGTAATATCATATGTCAACTTCTAAATTGTGTATGTTGACCGAAAACACACCATAGGATACACCCCCTAAGACCATTCCATCAAGGCGAGATCGTTCAAGCCACAGAGCTGCCTGTGATGTGTTGGATGACATGACCCCGAGTTTGGTCACTGACGAGGTCAGAGGATGAGGAGAACCAAGATGATAGTGAGAGACAAGTGGGGGAAAAGCAGTTACTTATATGGACTCGGAATACTAGAGTTTCCGCCAGGGCGACTAAGGCCCATCTGCGACAGGCCCTGAGCGACAGCGAGTATTAGTGATCCGTTTACGTGAGTAATAGCAATCCACCCTGTCGACCTGCGATCAAAAACCCGCATCTGCAAAAGGGCTCTTAAAAATGACATAAGGTAACAGTACAGCACCTTGAGATGTCCATGCGAGAGCCAATAATTGCCTCCTGGGGTGCGAGAGAGTGCCCCACCCCTGTCCCTGCTTCAGACAAATACCTTCAACAGGCTGTAACACAAACAAAGAAGATCACATTCAGGTATAATGTTAAACGACGTCACGTCATTTTATGCTATACACACGGCTATTCCCGCTGCCTTCGCGGAAGCAGAATATGTCTCCTGTTGTGGGTTATTAATCTGTTCATTGTTTGAATGTGCTAACACAGTCTCTGCGAATACTACAGTCGTAGGTGCAGCAGCAGCGCGGCTCGACCATAACTGCCTGACCCCGTGCGACGCGAAGGATGATGAATAATTGAGCAATACCCTGATTCAACAAAAAAGTAGAATCAGAGACGCAGGTAACACAGGTTTGTGTCTGCTTACCTGTATTGAGCTAATAGACAGGAAGCATACAGTGGAGACACTGTTCCAATGCAGAGCAAAGGCAACTATGAAAATCATAGCGAAGGCAGAATATAACAAGGCGGAGGCGGACTCGATGACCATGAGGACGACAGTGTCATAGGTGCTAGAATCATATTTGACCACGAGACGCTTCATCTGGCTGCGCATGGAAAGCAAACGATTAACCACGAGGATGGTATAAATCGAAGTGAGCCCCACATGGAAGCAGAGGTAGACAAGTATGACGTCGATTGTGTAAACTACGGCACCGTTGCTCGCTTGGACCAGGCTGAAAATAGACAGCGCTGCTTAAGATGTCAGTGACTAGTGTTGTCGCTGGTATATGATGAACTTCACTTATCATGGTAACATAGAGTGTGATCATCGGGATCGTCACGCGTCTTGCCCAATTCCATATCACGAAACATCGGTGAAGCTAAGCATATAATGCGTCAGGGTTGCACCCGTGTGACGAACTGTTCAGCTCACGAACAGAGCTTGCATAACACACCCTTGGATGTGACCACTAGACGAGATGAGACGTCAACACTAGTCTGGAGATATATGAGCAAAAATTCTTACCAAGAAATCGCCAGAACATTGATACGATAATCCATTTCATGCTCAATTGGAGCGGCCGGGCCACCCAATTTGGAACGGCATCGATCGCTCCGCTAGCGATCAAGGCGGTTTTCTCTTGAAAGTAGGTCACAAAACGGGTGCAAAGTGACCACCATAGCCTTCTGTGGTAAATGTGAATCTGAGCCAGACATCAACAACCATTCACGATCACCGAGGTGAGTGAGTGACTCTCGACTGGCATACTTCGAAAATAGCTGGCTCTCAAACAAAACCTGGAATGCAGACCATACAAAGAGCGCAGCCTCTGCCGTGTTGTTACAGTAGGGAAAATTGTCGTTGTTGAATTGCGAATGCTCAAGATCCAGCAACACCACTGGTGGGAGTAGGTCATGAAAGGTCGATTAGACCAAGTCTGAGCCTTCCCACACAGGGCCCTCAAAGAAGTTGTTTCTCCCGTAGGATGAAACGGCAGACGTCGAGGGTAAGAGTGCATGACGCGGCCAGGCCACCAGATGTATCACGAAAGTCTATCCAAATTATCTCGCGTTCGCAGAAAAAGCTATCGTGCAACACAATCATAAACATGTAAAAAAAAAAAGAAGCGCACGATGATAGTCCACGTGTTTATCCCCATATATGATATCGAGAGCCGCTGTATGAGAGCGATCCAGGCTTGTACTATGAGGAGAAAGAATGCCCTTGGAAAAGAGTTACAACAAGGGAGACAGAGGCATCTGCAACAGGATGCGACGGGAATAACAGTGGGTATGAGCGGCCCTTTGACAAGTGATAAGCTCTTTCCAATTCCCAAGAATTAAAATTTACACAGTACTTATCTCTATATTTCCATCTGAGAATCAAGAACTGCCTCCTGGAGCCATGCGCAAGGCCAAGAGCTTTCCTCATGACGCGCAATGTTGATATTTTCAATGATAAGCTTACCCCCGTCCCACCAGCGCTCGCCTTCAACTGGATACCATATATGATATTGTATTCAGATGGAGGCGAGCGATTGTAGACTGTCAATGCTGCAAGATATGATATCAGTGATTACTGACGGTCACTTGATAAATCATGATGATGAACTTCACTGATGGGCCGCGAGGAATCTAGAGATGTTTGCCATGATTTGCGTAGCTTAGTCAGCACTGTAGTAGTGCCGTGGTTCGGTTCGGGTCTGCTCAGGTTCGGCATTTACCGATGTGCTGGTAGTTTGGCGATTCTGGTGAGCCGAGTCGCTGATTTGCTGTGTGGACTGGATTGCAGCATTGACCAGCCACATCAGGAAAACTACCGATTCCTTTTCTTGTGGTGAGTAATTTATCGCGGGGCTTCGGGGACGTTCTAGTGAACAAGTACATCAGCAAACTACTTCATTCTGTACAGAGCTGTACAGAGCTGTACAACGCGAAAGATACACAGCTTAGTCCCTTCTGTTCACTTCACTACAATAACACTTCATTCTGTTAGTTCCTGTACAGACCGCCACAGACACCCACCAAGAATTGCTTTATGTACAATATTTCAACACTGTGACAAAAAAACATCATGTGCTACTGTCCAGTAACACACTTACCTGTAAAGTTGTACCGTTCTGTCCACACATGTAAAAGATGTACGCGATCACAAGAGTGTATTAGATCACAGACAGTAATGCAGAAACACAGATGCAGATACTGGTAGTTGTAAGATACACAAGCACTACTAATGATGATGGATGATACTAGTCGGGAAGTAGTGGTCCAAATCTAATCAAGCACGACCCGCAAATGACGATGCTTTGATGTGTCCTTGCCATCGAGTTTGCAGGACTGTGGATTTAATTAGCAAAGACTTATTTTGAAAAAAGCTCCTTACCATCCTTCTGCAGCGCACTCGTGAAGCTGTCGTGTCAACTTAGGGCCGTGATGTGTGCTTCATGATCTTCTTGAGTTCAGCAACCATCAAGAGATAGATGGAGGAGTAGTCTTTGGCAGTAAACTTCGGAAAATACTTGCCACTGCCATTCTTGACTAGCCCATCGAAGACGCAGTTGTACTACAAATTTGGCGTCAGCGCATCATTAGTATGAAATAAATATATATAAAAAGTACCGCAGCGCAAACCAAAGCCAAAGACTCCAAAGGTAACTCCTCTTTGAAGATATCGGGTCTCCTGTGAGTGATACAATAGGAACCAGTGTAGAAGAAGGCAATGGCAGCTGCCTTGAGTGCAGGGTGAGCAGTGTTGTTGGTTTTCCCAAGTTCATCCACACTGTCGCAAAGAAACACAGAGTCGTCCAACAGTTCTGTAGCAGCATTCGCAACCCAGGCGGTGCAAGCTTGAGGAAGTACATCAGCTGAGGGGATGAGGTTATACATGGAGGGCGCAGTGCTGATAGCTATCTTCTTGAGGTCGGAGTGCCAGGTTGATAAGTCTTCATATAGCTAGATAATAGTGCATGAGGAATTGAGCCAGTGACAATGGACATACTTACCAGCTTGGCCATATCAGCCTTGTGGTCAGGCCATATACCTAGTCAACCTCATGAGTGAGATATCTCGGGGAAAACAAATACATACCTGCTTCCACCTCATTACCTGCTTCAAGCCATTTGATGAGTGACATCGAGAGTGCTTCGGTGACTGAAAGAGGCAAATCCTTGATGGCATCTGGGAATGCATTCTCGATTGCGTGCTGGGCACGACACTCTGATTTTGCCTCCTCAAGAAATGTCTGCTGGATTGCTCGAGTTGGATCAGGTCATCAAGCCAGGTATTACACCCGGATAAGGGCTGACTCATATGGCGAGCGACAGATGAGTGATCTTTGAATTTCTTGCCGCACGAAGGACAATAACTTGAAGCTTCGGGCATGCTGAAGTCATCAACATACGAAGTCCAGGCCCGGCATTTTCCGATAATCCTTCTACAATGATCACAGGCCCAGCACTTTCTGATAATCCTTCTTCACATACTATACAATCCTTATCAGTCAGCGCTTCTGGTTTATACTTGCAAAATTCTCTCCAAGCCTACCACAACAGCGATGGGGACTCTCATGAGCCATGTTGTCCAAATCTGCACACCAGTTATCATACTAGTGGTATGTCCGATATATTGAAAGTTGTTGACAATTTCAATGCTATGGTGAGTGTCACAAATTCCTAATACGAATCATTTTTCATTTCTCAGTTTTCCTTCGGCTACTTCCAGTACCAAAACCAGTCACGTGACACCTTCACCTATCGCATCTCCAATTGGCTCCCCTACTCCACTCGCTAGAACAATCTCGCTTCCCAAAGAAGAACCAGTCGGATCTTGGGTTTCTGTTTAGTTGCCGTCTTACTCATCTGCTTATATATCATGATGTCATGCTCAGTCATCCGCAGTATCGTACAACTCTGTTCTCATTGGCTGATTTCTTTTAAACTCAGATATCTCCTTTTCAATGTTATGTATAAAAGTAGGTTAGTTAGCATAAGTACTCCTTAGACTTAACCTCTTCGTTCTCTACAGTTGTAGTAGACCTAGATGTTCATGCTCAATCTATCTTGTTCCCTCATCATCTGTGACCGAGTCCTAGTGGTTGTTGTCTGACTTTACCATTTGGTGAACTCAGGTCATAACAGTGAGTCAGTCTTTCAATGTTTTTGTAAAGTCTCAAAAGGATCGGCATTTCAACAGTCCATCAAAGATCCATCTGATGGTGAAGTAAACCTGATGATGGACCTCGTAAGAGTGAAGTGTGACATTTTTCGGGCTCAGAAGGCCCTCGCAGATTCAATACTACGAGAACACGAGGTTTTGTCGAGCTTGTTGAGATTCCAAGCTGAAACTGCAGGGAAGAGGTTGGATGATGTGGACCTTGGACTAGGATATATGCGAGTTGTCTTCAAAAAGCATGGTTGGACTCATCACCCTCAGGCCCCTCTATCCAGACAGGGATGTCTGCACGCTGGTAAGCTTGATATTCTGGTATCACAGGATGAACTGATGTCTGAACACATCACAGACAACTTAGAAAATGCATGGCATGTCACCATTCAGCTTGATTAATTCTGTTTCTTGGCGCATTCCGCATTTTTCTTTTATGTTCAACATATGTACCATGTAAATTCTTGCGATATTGTTTATATGTCCAAAATATATATTCGCATTGGTTTGTAAATTTCAGTGTGCTACTAGTACTATGAGTGATGTAAATGACTCCAAAATATACTAAGTACAGTGTTTACTACTATGATCATGACACTTGCAACTCGAAGCCGTGACTCTGTGAGTGGCTGGAAGTAAGTGGTTCTGTAGCTACATTTGAAGCCTGTGCTACTGTAGTAGTCGAAGTCTGGAAGAAACCGTGACTCTGTGAGTGACTGGAGGTAAGTGGTGCTGTAGCTACTGTATGCTGTGAGCTTTGTGTGAACTGTGACTTTTTGTGGTTGGCTGTAGCTAGGGTGAGAATTTAAGTCTTCTGTAGACGAAGTTGGTAGTTTGCTGATGTGGCTGGATCTTGAGCATTCACAATTCGACAACAACAATTTTCCCTACTGTAAACACATCAGTAAATTCACACATTCATTGGCGCCACTTTTTTTGAGAAGTTAAATCTTATTTACCACTTATTTACATTTATTTAATTGAGCGCATTAGTCGAAAGGAAGCGCGCGATAAACAAGTGTGATAAGGCACAGATAAGCAATCAAAAGTACATTCATCTATTTCAAGGAACGAAAGTCAAGTAAGTAGTACAAGTACTCATAACTATGATTTGTCACTACCAAGAATAATTGGGACCAAAGCGGATCCGTGTGTTTCTGGATCTTGCGATATGGTGTCCTTGATGAAATATTAGCTATATTACGAGCGATACCAGAAAGAGATGGAAGACGTACTGCTTGTTGCCATGCCCAGTCTCCAGACATGAAATCTTTCCATTGGCATGTGTCATCCAATGCATCATATTCACGAAATGGTACATAGTCAATTTTGTCCTTGTAGTGAGGGTTAGCGATGATATTGTGCGCCATTGCATGGGGGTCCCTATACCAGACCTCAAATTCATCGTCCATCCACAGTGGGACAACCTCAGGTCGTTCTCCTGAGTATTGAACAGAGAAACACTGCCAAGGGATGTCACCAAGCTGCGTCGCATCTATGATGTTGTGCAGATCTTTGTGATCAGCAAATGGAGGGGTGTTGTGGTGTTTCACAAGAGTTGCAGCCATTAGGTCACACAAGAAATCCAAATTTCTCGCCGACATATGACATTTTTTGAATGTGAACTCTGCTGCCTCAAATTCGATCTTGGGCTCTTCCCAAGTTGGAGGAAGTTCTCTGCACTACTGTGCAGGACACCTGGGATGCGGTATACAAGGACATACCACACAAGGTGACTACTGATGGGCCTGTTATGGCTTTAGTAAGTGATCTTTGATGCAATTCATATCTGATCGTTCTTGTTTTTTCTTAGGCCACCCAGCGGCTATCAGAATGGCGCAATGGCATGGGCACTACCACTATCACCGCACTCACACACTTCATGTCATTACAGGATGATGTTCAGACCGACCAAGACTGCAAAGATTTCACAAACAACTTACTTTTTAAGCTAGGGTTCTTGTATGGTAGCATCACGGAGGACGGACAATTCAAGAAACCCTTTCAGTCGGAACTCCTTGTTCAAGTCCTCGTACAGCACAGGTGTGCTACTTGGGGCGCTATTGATAGCCACAGGAAGGTCATGCACGCAAAGGGCGCTCTTAGTCTTGCCACTGCGGTGGCATGTATATTCACCCTCTTATCATATTGTAACTAACATATTTCTTGTGTTTCAGATGGAATGTGCCCTCACGATTATCGGCCGTGACAAGACACTCATCAGTGAATTGGAAGTCAACAGTAAAGGCAATGCTGTCAAGGTCCCCCACAGTATGAACAAAGCCTCAGGCAAGATCAGCAACTCTCGAAAGGCCTTTTCAGACACCAACTTCAGTGTGGCAACCAGGGGCTATATGAAGCCCATCAACTGCCTTGACGAGTCGATCCTCCAGGACGTCTGGGGCCGCATGAATGAGATCGCTGCAAGGAGGTGTGGTGTGCCCCCCCACTGTGGAAGAAGATTCTGAGGATGAGCGCACGCTCATCTTTGATACCTGGTACTGTCCTTTTCTGTCATTTTCTAGTGTCTCCCAACTGACGGATTTCAGTGCTACTTTCTGTTTTATAGAGTGAGGTACTTGTACTGCCCCTTCCTCTCGTCATTCACATTCATACCATCATCTATGTTCCCTGCTTGTTTGTTCTCTGTTGCCTGCCGAGTCATTGCCGCTGCCGCCGGCATGTACTACGTGTTGCTATTCACTTTGTCACGCATGTTAAATGTCTTGTTTTCGCTACTTACCAGTACTTTCATATTGCTTTCTCTCCTTTTTGTCTCACTTAATATACTTGTCACTGGAAATGCAATGATATACAGCTATTTTTGTCTGGAACAAGTACACAATAAGTGAAATAAGTTGCTCCAATTTACACTACTTGCACTACTTGTATTGTAGGAATAATTGAAAATAATTGCTCTAAAAGCGAAAATAAAGGTAGAAAAAGTCAAACTCAAGAGGAGGCATCTACTTATCCAACTTATATGCTTTGTGGCAAGTTGATGGCAAATTGGTGTCGCCATTTTTGCGAGTGACTTTTCCGCTCCTTTTTGGGAATTTAACCGGCGGCAAGTCGCGAAAAAGGAAGTCAAGAAATGTGGGAATTTACTGATGCAGCATGGCAGAGGCTGCGCCTAGTGGTCACATCCAAGGGTGTGTTATGCAAGCTCTGTTCGTGAGCTGAACAGTTCGTCACACGGGTGCAACCCTGATGCCTTATATACTTAGCTTCACCGATGTTTCGTGATATGGAATTGGGCAAGACGCGTGGTGATTATCCCGATGATCACACTCTATGTTACCATTGTCCATTTGCAGCCTGGTCCAAGCGAGCAACGGTGCCGTAGTTTACACAATCGACGTCATACTTGTCTACCTCTACTTCCATGTGGGACTCACTTCGATTTATACCATCCTCGTGGTTAATCGTTTGCTTTTGATGCGAAGCCAGATGAAGCATGTCGTGGCTGAATATGATTCTAGCACCTATGACACTGTCGTCCTCATGGTCATCGAGTCCGCCTTGTTATATTCTGTCTTCGCTATGATTTTCATAGTCGCCTTTGCTCTGCATTGGAACAGTGTCTCCACTGTATGCTTCCTGTCTATTAGCTCAATACAGGTAAGCAGACACAAACCTGTGTTACCTGCGTCTCTGATTCTACTTTTTTGTTGAATCAGGGTATTGCTCAATTATTCATCATCCTTCGCGTCGCACGGGGTCAGGCAGTTATGGTCGAGCCGCGCTGCTGCTGCACCTACGACTGTAGTATTCGCAGAGACTGTGTTAGCACATTCAAACAATGAACAGATTAATAACCCACAACAGGAGACATATTCTGCTTCCGCGAAGGCAGCGGGAATAGCCGTGTGTATAGCATAAAATGACGTGACGTCGTTTAACATTATACCTGAATGTGATCTTCTTTGTTTGTGTTACAGCCTGTTGAAGGTATTTGTCTGAAGCAGGGACAGGGGTGGGGCACTCTCTCGCACCCCAGGAGGCAATTATTGGCTCTCGCATGGACATCTCAAGGTGCTGTACTGTTACCTTATGTCATTTTTAAGAGCCCTTTTGCAGATGCGGGTTTTTGATCGCAGGTCGACAGGGTGGGTTGCTATTACTCACGTAAACGGATCACTAATACTCGCTGTCGCTCAGGGCCTGTCGCAGATGGGTCTCAGTCGCCCTGGCGGAAACTCTAGTATTCCGAGTCCATATAAGTAACTGCTTCTTCCCCACTTGTCTGTCACTATTATCTTGGTTCTCCTCATCCTCTGACCTCGTCAGTGACCAAACTCGGGGTCATGTCATCCAACACATCACAGGCAGCTCTATGGCTTGAACGATCTCGCCTTGACGGAATGGTCTTAGGGGGTGTATCATATGGTGTGTTTTCGGTCAACATACACAATTTAGAAGTTGACATATGATATTACAACAGGGATATACCTTTTCCTTACAGTACAAACCTGGATTGTTGTCATGCAGCAGCCTCGATATGGGGGTAGAAGCCGTCGCGTGCTTCTTTTTTACATATTCATCACGTTCGCATTGGGGACGGTATCCTTTGCTGCGAACGCGAAATATACGGAGATGATTTGGATAGACCTTCGGGATGTACCTGAGAGCCCGGCCGATCTAATCGAGAACCAAATGACCTATCCTATCAACGTTCTAGCGATTTCCACGTAAGCAGTTTTGCCTATACATCTCCAGAGCAGCGGTTTTAATGTCTCGTCTCGTTAGTGCTCACATCCAGGAGTGGTTTATGCAAGCTCTACTTGTGAGCCGAATAGTTCGTCATATGGAACTCCGTGCAAGCCTGACGCCTTGTATACATAGCTTCACCGATGTTTCGTGATATGGAATTGGGCGAGATGGGTGACGATCCCTATGATCACGCTCTACATCGCCATGATAGGTGAAGTTCATCATTTACCAGCAACAGTACCAGTCACTGACATCTTCAGCAGCGCTGTCTATTCGCAGCCTGATCCAGGCGAGCAACGGTGCCTTAGTTTACAGTATCGACTTCATACTTGTCTACCTCTGCATCGAAGTGGGGCTCAGTGTCATTTATACCATTCTCGTGGCGAATCGTTTGCTCGCCATGCGAAGCCTGATGAAACAGGTCACGGCCCAATATGATTCTAGCACCTATGACACCATCATTCTCATGGTCGTCGAGTCTGCCATGTTATACTCTATCTTCGCTGTGATTTTCATAGTGTCCTATGCTCTGCATCTAAACGCTATCAGTACTGTATGCTACCTGTCTATTTGCCAAGTCCAGGTAAGCAGACAAAACCTGAGTTACCATGTCTCTGATGCTTGTTTTTTGTCGATCCAGGGCATTGCTCAATTATTCATCATCCTTCGCGTTGCACAGGGCCTGGCAGATCCATACGATTGGTCGAGCCGAGATGCTGCAGCACCTACGACTACAGTACTCTCAGGTTTTGTATCGGACACAACGGAAAATCAAATGATGAAAGTATAGCGAGGCCAGAGCAAGCCGTTGTTTAAACGTCTTCTGCTTGTGCGAAGGCAGCGGAAGTAGACGTGCGTATATCATGAGATGATGTGGCTTTATCCTTGTACTTGATTTATACCCGAATGTAATTGTTTGCGATCCAGGCAGCAGCCTGTTGAACGTCTTTGTATAAATACCCTTGAGTGAGATCATGTATCAACAATTCCCGCAGCACACGCAACAATTCTTCGCTTTTGCAAATTAAATCACATTGATGACTGAGCGTGCTTACCCGTGTCGCCTGCAAGGAGGTCGGGGGAGTGCGAATTCGAATCAACAACACCTCAGATTTATCAGAAAGTTAGATGTGCGCCGTCGTGAAATGTTGGAAAACTTCGTGTATATCAGTCGATGAGCTTGACCATTTTGCATTTCGTATAGAACGTCGTGGTATTGATCATGTTCCTGTTCGAGCCGCATGTCGCGATCGTTGCGCCAACTTTATTCATCAATTTATCCCAGCGGCTTTTGGCTGGCTTGGGCTCACGGCCTAGGCTTGAAATCTGGTGAGCCTGAGGCCCCTCAGGCCAAGCCTAAGTTGAGCCAAAGCCGGGCCGGAACATCACTAGGTGGGTCCCAAGGTGGGACCCACCCAAGCCGCTGACTAAGCTGCGCAAACCATGGCAAACACACTCACGGGGCCTCACTCCACCTTACTTGAGTACTTATTCTTGAGTATTAATCGGTGAAATTCATCGATACATCTACCAAGCGAGTCGACTTGAAGCGATAGTTTTATTCACTGGCATCTTGAGCGGTATCATCTATATGGCATCCAGGTGCATGCGAGGCCAATACAGTGTATATCAACACCGAGCCTCTTGCCTACATGTGCATGGATTCCAGGAGGGCTGACTGGTGGCTGATTTAAAATTACTATATTCTCGGATCTCGTGGCGAATCATTTACTATCCAAGTCAAATACTCACCGGCACCACGCGAGGCCAGATGAAGCAGGTCATGGCCCAATATGATTCTAGCACCTATGATACCGGCGTACTCATGGCCCGTCGAGTTCGCCATGCCACCATATTATATTTTCGCTGTGATGTTCTAGTCATTGTTCTGCATTTGAATGGCGTCACTATTGTATACTTCCTGTCCATTGGCCAAGCACAGGTAAGAAGACAACCTGAGTTACTGCGTCTCTGATGCTAGTTGTTGTTGACCTAGTGCATTGCCCGATTATTGGTGTTGCGGGCGGTTACACATGAATGGTCGAGCCGCGTTGCTGCAGAACATACGACCATAGTATGATCAGGGTCTGTATCGCGCAGATCAAAAGAATCAAACGATAAACGGATAGCCAGACCAGAGCAGGATGTTTAACAGACGTATTTTACTTCCGCGAAGGGGGCGGAAGTAGACGTGTGTACAGCATAACATGGATTTAAAGTCGTTTGAACTTTATCCCTGAAGGTAATCTTTTTTGTTACCGCTGCAGCGTGTTGAAGGTCTTTATGTGAAGCAAGGACGGGGTTTTAACAATCTATCAACATTGCATAGTCACGAGGAAACGTCTTGACCCCGGGAGGCAGTTCTTGACTCTCATATAGAAATATAGGGGTACTGTACGATGTGCATATCTTATTTTTTTGTGGGCAACAGCTTATCACTCACGTAAAAGGGTCGCTCATACCCGCTGTCGCTCAGCATGATGGTCTGTCACACCCTCAGGTCGCAGATAGGCCTCTGTCTTCCTGGTGGAAATTGTTTCCGAGTTCTTCATACGGCTGCCACTTGTCTGCCACTATCCTCTTGATTTCGTGCACCACTTGCCAGGGTCGTTCATACCCGCTGTCGCTGACCTGTCGCATCCTCAGGTCACAGATAGGGCCTCTGTCTCCCTGTCTTTTCCGAGTTTTCCATATAACTGCCACTCCCCCATTCGTCTCTCACTATCCTCTTGGTGACTTCTACCACTTAGCGGTGGATAGGTAGCCTCCGTCATTCGTGTCTCTGTGTCGTCCATAACTTCCCTTCACTTCATCAGTGACCGAACTCAGTGTCATGTCATCGAAGACCCCACAAACAGATTTGTCGCTTGAACGATCTCGTCTCAATGGAATGGTGTTAGGCGGTGTATCCTACGGTGTGTTTCCGGTCAATATACACACTTCGGAAGTTGACATATATATACCGCGATAGGCGTATTCTTTCTCCTCACAGTACAAGCCTGGATCGCTCTCATGCAGCAGCCCCGATTTGAGGGTAAAATTGCAAGCCATCGTCGCGCACTTCTGTTTTACATCTTCATTACGTTCGTATTGCGGACCATCAGCTTTGCTGCGAACGCGAAATATACGGAAATGATTTGGATAGACCTTCGTGATGCACCCAGTGGCCCGGCCGCATTGATCGAGCACGACATGGATTATCGTATCAACGTTGTGACGATGTTCACGTGAGAATCTTTGCTCGTATATGCCCAGACTAGTCTAAATGTTGACGTCGGATCTCGTCCAGTGGTCCAATCCAGGAGTGGTTTATGCAAGCTCTGCTCGTGAGCCGAATAGTTCGCCAAATGGTAATCGGTGCAAGCCTGATGTCTTATATCCTTAGCTTCACCGATGTTTTGTGATATGGGATTGGGCGAGATGCGTGATGATCCCGATGATCGCACTCTATGTTACCATGATCGGTGAAGTTCACTGCCCATCAAGCAGCAGTAGTGACTGACATCTTGAGCAGCGCTGTCTATTTTCTGCCTGATCCAGGCGAGCACCGGTGCCGTACTTTACAATGTGAACATCATACTTGTCTACCTCTGCTTCCAAGTGGGGATCACTGTGATTTATACTATCCTCGTGGTGAATCGTTTGCTCGCCATGCGAAACAAGATGAAGCAGTCCATGACCCAATATAATTCTGGCACCTATGACACCATCGCCATTATGGTCATCGAGTCCTCCATGTTATACACTGCCTTCGCTATGATTTTCATAGTCGCCTTTGCTCTACATTTGAACAATGTCACCACTGTATGCTTCCTGTCTATCAGCTCCATTCAGGTAAGCAGACAAGAATCTGATTTCCTTAGGTTCTGATGCCAGTTTTTTTTTTGAACTAGGGAATTTCCCAATTATTCATTATCCTTCGCGTCGCACGGGGGCGGGCAGTTACACACGAATGGTCGACCCCAGTTACTGCAGTACCTATGAGTGTGGGACTCGCAGGGTCTGTATTGGATACAACAGAAAAATCCAATCATGGACGGATAGATAGGCCAGAGTAATCTGTTGTTTAGACGCATTATGAGGAATTTCTGCTTCTAGGCAGCAGAAGTAGACGTGTGTACTTGTGCGACATTGTTTTATACTTGTTTTATACCTGAATGTAATCTTATTTGCAATGTTTGCGCTGCAGCCTGTTGAAGGGATTTGTCTGAAGCATCTTAAAAGACGGTAGACGTCTAAAGAGAAAGAACTCGTATGAGTTCTATAGTACATCAGTAAGGAATGTGTTAGATATACTAAACTATGACTTACCCCCAGTCGAGTATAAGAGACTGGGGAAAAGAGAGAAACGAGCGTAGCGGATCTATGGTACGTGGGATTACTATATATGGTAAGTCCGCTGGCGTAGTGAGCGGAGGTCAGAAACAAACAAAACAGAAATTATACTACGTTGACGGGTTGATTTCCAACACATCTTTCTTCTCTTGGGTCTGCCTACGGGAGACTATATCAACACTCCGCATGCATGAGGAAAGGCCTTAGCCTCAGGAGGCAATTCTTGGCTCTCGAATGGACTATCTAGAGGTACGGTACTTCTTACTTATATCAATTGTTGTAAGAAAAAGCTCCACCGAATTGATTCTATATATATTTTTCTAATCGCATAGTCGACAGGTGCTGGTCTCCTGTAGCCAAGTGCCCCTTGAAAGAAGGAAGTCAGTCGTTCCTTCTTTTTCAAGGTCTGGGAGTTTTGGCAGCCTCGTTATAGGTGATTGAATTTGACTGTCAAAAGCCTGCCCAAAATGCAGACTAACAGGCGACTCCCGATTCGCATTTTGCCAATGCCCAAGGTAGGCTCTACTATTATGAAGCCTCTACAAGGCGCTGTCTGAAAAGTCAGTGGAGTGTATTGGAGTGTACAGTCAGGATTTGGTCAGGCCCGACAGCAAACGCGCCCACTACCTGGTTTGAACGATTTCGCTAGTCCAATTTAGCCACACAACAATTGAACCCGACCAGCGAAAAACAAACCGGACTCAATTGCCGAGCAGGGCCTTGTAACAGGTGACTCCCAATTCGCATTTTGCCAAGACCCAAGGTGGGACAAGCCTGAGGGTCACTGATACCCGCTGTCGCTCAGCATGATGGCTATCTCAGCCTACTATCGCAGATGGGCCATCGCTCTGTCGCCCTGGTGGAAACTCTGGTATTTCGGGTTCTCCATATATGTAACCGCTTCTTCCACTCTCGTCTCCCACTATCATCTTGGTGATCCTCACTTGACAGTAGATAGTAGGCCGCCTCGGTGTCTTCCCTAACCTCTCCTCACCTCGCAGTGACCAAACTCGGGGTCATGTCATCTTACACACCACAGATAGATCTGTCGCTTGAGCGATCTCGTCTCGATGGAATGGTCTTAGGGGGTGTATTCTATGGTATGTTTTTTTTATCGATATACACAAGTAGACTGTTTGATGTGTGTTGCAATAGGCGTATTCTTTCTCCTTACCGTACAAACCTGGATTGCTGTCATGCAGCAGCCTCAATATGGGAGTAAAAACCGTCGCATGCTTCTTTTTTACATCTTCATCACATTCGCATTGGGGACGGTATCCTTTGCTGCGAATGTGAAATATACGGAGATGGTTTGGATAGACCTTCGTGATGCACCTGGTGGCCCGGCCGCTCTGATCGAGAATTCACTGAACTATCGTATTAACGTTCTGGCGATGTTCACGTAAGCAGCCTGAACTGTGCCCATAATACATCTGTTAACATGTCGTCTAGTGGTCATATTCAAGAGTGGTTTATGCAAGCTCTGCTCGTGAGCCGAATATTTCGCCAAATGGGAATCGGTGCAAACCTGACGCATTATAAACTTAGCTTCACCGATGTTTCGTGATATGGAATTGGGCAAGATGCGTGATGATCCCGATGGTCACACTTTATATTGCCATGATTGGTGATGAACTTTATCATTCACTAAGTCACAGTAGTCGCTGACATCTTAATAGCGCTGTCTATCTGCAGCATCATCCAGGCGAGTACCGGTGTCGTATATTATAGTATCAACGTCATAGTTGCCTATCTCTGCATCGAAGTGGGGCTCAGTGTCATTTATACCATTCTCGTGGCGAATCGTTTGCTCGCCATGCGAAGGCTGATGAAACGGGTCATGGCCCAACACGATACCAGTGCCTATGACACCGTCGTCCTCATGGTCATCGAGTCCGCGGTGTTATACTCTACCTTCGCTATGATTTTCATAGTTGCATTTGCTCTACATCTGCAAAGTGTCTCTACTCTTTGCTTCCTCTGTATCAACTCAATTCAGGTAAGCAGACAAGAATCTAAGTTACCTACTCTCTAATTTTTCTTGTTGGACTAGGGTATTGCCCAAATATTCATCATCCTTCGTGTTGCACGGGGGCTGGCAGTTACACACGAATGGTCGAGCCTAGTTGCCTGCAGCACCCACGACTATAGTATGCTCAGAGTTTGTATCGGATAAAACCGAAAACTCACACAACGAACGTATAGCTAGGCCAGAGCAGGTCGTTTTTTAGACGTATTCTGCTTTTGTGCAAAGGCAGTGGAAGTAGACGTGTGTATAGCATGAAAGTCATGTGACGTTAGTTTAAATATTTGTACTGGATTTTCCTGAATGTAATTGTTTGCGCTGCCGCCTGCAGCCTGATGACAGTCTTCGTACTGGCTTCTCATATGATGTGCAAACATTTATTTGGTCGATTTAGGTGGACCCCTTGCTGCGAAACTACCCAGGTATCGCCGTTGGTGTGAGCAAGACAAGCCAAAGCATAGAGGCTAGACGAACATCCATGATTGCGCGGTCATGTTTGCTGCCATCCCATATAATATTTTGCACGTTAGTATGGGTCGATCTGTATGCGACCGTGACGAACATACTCGAATAACGATCTCCACCAAATTGCCAACACAAAATAGAGTCAATAAGATTGAAAAAGGTTCAAGTTAGCATCATCAACTGTCAAGAGGAAAACACTGGTAGTCTGGTATCTCAGCAAGCAATACATCAATCAATTCAAAACAGTACGCTTTCTGCGAGCCAAGCGAGTGCTGAGGACACGATGAACACCAGGAACAAAGCCAACTGTCACTCGCACGCATGAGCCACGCACGCCCGTGTGCCAGCGCAAACGACCAGTACAGTGCGTGGGTCCCATGCGAGCTCGTATAATTATCAACCAAGGAAAGGTTGGTCATGTCTGGATAGCAGCCTTTCAGAGTGATAGCATAAGTCTCTTGCAATGGATCGCGCGACACGAAGCAGGCGCTTGAGGGTGAAGACCAGACGTGACGAGGCAGAAACGTGCCAGCCGAATCAACGCGAGCCAAGGGGATGATACAGCCGCTACAAACACGGCAGAGATAAACTGAGGTGGTGTTTTGGGGGGCGGAAGATATGCTTGATGACGGAGAGGACATGAAATGAGGCTTCATCCGGATGTTCGACGGGTGTCTGGGAAGTTGCCAGGTAAGTAGAGGTCAAAGAGATCGTATTTGCAGATGCGTGCACAAACGAGCCTAGCATACACGAGACCTCATTGGGGTGGCGTGTGGTTGGCGGAATGGACGTAGGTGGGTGCATCATATTTAGTGATCAAGTCAAACATTTTGCAATAGCAAAACTGATGAAACGCACCTGCTCGAATGTAGCCTTTCCTCCAGGGAGCAGGAGTCACGCGAACAAGCTGGATGCCCTCTTCGTCTGACACCTGCAAACACCTTCTCATAGAATTGGAGAAATCGGTTGGACACCTCTCCCCTCGCTAGTCTCTGTTATTCCAAGCATAAGTACTTTGCACCAAGAGTCAAAAGTTCCGGTTTTTGATTAGGGACCAAAAATTCTTTATAAGAGAATGGCGTGCTAGGTGTGGGTAGAGAAGACGCCAAGCAGGGGGCAGGTCACTATGATGGGCCAGAATGATGTGGCTCAGAAGGACAGAATACAGAGTATCGTTCATCCATTTTAAAGTGAGTAAGAGCGTCGACTCCTGCCCTACTCAGGTCGTTGTTGTGGGACCGTCGACGTGTACCCTTGGTTTCTCACCCATGACCCAACTGGAAGTACTTTGCGACCGTTTCTGTGATGTGTTTCGTGCATCATCGATGAAGATAATTTCCTTGTACTCTGGCCTTCCAATGGTGACGTAGATCTGTGCCTATCGATCGCATAAACGCTCAAAGTGTCAAGTAGACGAGGCAGGGGATGGGTGTGACTTACTTCATATCTGTGTATCGGGTACATCGTCCAACCTCGAGAACTACCATATCGTTGTGCACCGTGAAGAGCTGCATGCTTGATTTCATATCCAAGGTAGTAGGAAGAAGGTGCAAGTTAGATGTCCTATGTAAAGTAAGTAGCACAAACATAATTGCTAGAGAAATGATGAATATCGTTCGCACCTGTCCACACCGGAAAGACTTCCGCATAGAGGTTTTGTTCGAAACTTGCCGTACTACAGTGCGCAAAGAGTGACTCGTATGAGTCTAGCCCAACCCCTACTAGATACAGTTCAATAGCTGCCTCTAATTTCTAGCAGCCACAGCCTCGTCTATTTTTACGACACAGCGCGCAGTGCGCATTTTCATGAAGATCTCAGAGTCAGTGTCGATGTCCAAGTCGTCTAAAACCCCAAAGCACTCACCAGTGGAGGTAAATGTCCTTTATACATAATGTGTTAGTGCTTCGATCACTCGGTCGCCAAGGAGGAATGTATCGCACGTCTTTAATTTTTGATTGACCGTCTTCCACAACAAATTCAAGTCCCAGCAGAAGAGAGCTGTGCATAACCAGTGGGAATGACCTCTACGGCTTCGTAGCAACGTACCAATGTGAATACCTTCACCTAGTACTTAGGTTTATAAGGCACCATTCGTAGCGTAACCTGAAAATGAATCTTGTGACTCTAGTGAGACCGTCGCACTCCATTCCAAACATAAAAATCACCCAAAAGTAGTGATCGAAACACCTAACTGACATGCTGCCTCCTGATAATGGTAGCCCATGCAATATGTATCGATCAGCTGTCGGACCTCGACCGTTTATTCAACATATTGCAATATGGGCTCTGACCCATCTTCCATCCCCGTGATATCTCGTTTATTAGATAGGAGGGATAAGGCAGCACTAAAGGGTCAAATTGGTAACCCATATTGTACTGGTTTGAATGGGAAGAGGTTCCATGAATGTACGAGCTCAGTCGAAAGGTCCCTAGTCGTGAGGAAGTATGATGCATGCTGGGTGATGGGATGGTATATACTAATATAGTGAGTTGTGCGAAACAGATGAGGTGAAATGGGCAGTGAATGGAAAAGGAAGAGATTCAGACAGAAAGTGTCCGGTGCCGGTTTCTTCCGGGCACTCAGCCTGGCACATTCTATTGGTCTAACCGTTCGACGTCTACCTCCTAGCCTTAAACGACTACCTTCCGTTTTTCAATGTCTGGCTTAGGGAGACTACTTCCTAGCCGACTTCCCGTGTGTCCACCGGCACGCGTCATCATGAGTGGCGTAAAGCCTGTGCAAGAGCGATTCGCTGCACTAGTACCAGGAGGATTCAGGAAGTTATTCGTGAGTTCTTCAATTACATATATTGGCACCCTGTGGTGTACACTTACTTGAACTACATCCCTGCGTTGAACGGCACCTTCCTATGCCTGCATCTCCATGGATCCTACTTGACCGGTCCCCCCAAGTACTGCCTCATGTCCCTAGCACTACATACCCAAATCTCATCCACTCTCGCCCACGGCCACTGCTGTCCTGGCGCTGCTTCCTGAAACCTCTTTCAACCTCCTTCAGCTCCCTATATGCCGGTCTGCAACCTGCTGCTGCCCGCTACACTCCACCTCGCTCCCACGCTATCCTACGATCCTCGTACTGTAAGCCTGAGGCAGGGACAGTGAAACTCCAGCTATGAGAAATTGTATAGTGGAAGGGTGCAGAGGACAGCGCCGCTGCGTGACCAAGTCCAGTGTCTATCGGATATGTGTCTGGGGCCTTTGACACTGGTCCTCACCATGGAGTCCTTCGATCTTTTGGTGAGGCATATGCGTGATCGCTGACATCTCTTACTTCGTAGGGACGGAGAAGATATGCTTGTTGCGTGTCTGCTACTGCTCCCATACCCTCGTCCATGCCGCTGTTGTTTCAACCAACTTGATTCTTCAACAACCTGTGTCGTCCACTGGCAGCGCCTCCTCCCCCCACCCAGCGCTATAAACCATATTCTCCCGTGTTCTAGAGTTCGCCGTGGTTGACTAAGGATACAGCAGCAACGATCTGTAGCTGCGACATGCTTCGTCGTAGGCCCGAGGTATCATTTCATGCATTGTATTCCATAAGTATATCATGCTACATTTGTTAGTGGATGACCTGAAGTTCAACAGACCAGCAGGGCGCAAGCATAACGCGGGCCGTGGGGGCATCAATGACAGATTGAACTGATGGCGCTCATAGCGGCAGAATGTCCGAGTTGATCTCGATCCTTCCCTGCTAAAGATAGCAATTGATGAAACTAGCCATCTGATCACTGAGATGGTCATGTGATAGCAGTACATTTCGTAGGGAGCCAGGCTCTGGTAGCTAGCGTGCGTTAATGCACCACGCGTTATGCTAAGGACCCCACCCTTATGTGCGAAATACTAGCACGATGCAACAAGTTGGTGACACCTAAGGTGTGTGGTCCATATGGAACTAAAGTCCTTTCGGTGCCTTGTGTACACTGGCGCTCTATGGGCTGAGCCTGGATCTCGGCTGATTCATGTAAAAACCAGGCAATTTCACTGTATCGAGAGATATGACCACGTCTGATATGATGATATCCAAAAATACTGACCTGGCCAGTGGTGTCATATGCGTTTGTACTCTGCTGGAAAGACCCCGAACCAGAAATACTTACTAGTGAGCGCTCGAGGCATTACAGCCGCGGTCAAGGAAGCACAACATCAGCAACGACGTCGTGGAGCTATCGAAGGCCCTCAGCTTGTACCCCAGTGCTGTCAACTGGAAACACTCACGCATCAGCACTCTTCACGTCCAGAACATGGTTCCCAACACATAAATATATTTCGAACCCGTCTGCGCCATGGAGTCCAAAAGGCCCTTCATCATACACAGCCACTCCTGCTCCACATCGTTGTTCTTCTCGTCATTATGTCGAAGATAAGTTCAACCGTCGATGGAATGTCGGGATGTGACCAAATCGAACAAAAGGCCACGAATATCCCTTCCCCGTCGTGCTCACTTGCCACTTCACAAAGGGTACTATAAACGACAAAGACCAAAGTGTTACAGAAAGGAATTATGTCGGTCGGTGCACCTGAGATAAATCGATAAATCGAGGGCAAGCAAATAACAGGTTTAGGTGTGATTAAAAATAGAAAGCAACGGAACGGAAGTAGTACGCCACGCACATGATGCATGATGTCCGGATCCGCTTACAGAAAGAGACCGCCCTCGAACCTCTCCACTAGTGCTGCAGTGAGTACGCATTGCGTGACACAGCCAGTTTATCTTTGGTAGGCGCCTTTATCATTGCCTTGATTTGCGACATAGCTTCTCTGACATAGCTTCTCATTGATAGGTGCCTCGGCCCTCGATAGGTGCCTTTCCCGCTCAGCGGTAGGCGCCTGGTCCGTGCTTCTTGTCGGAAGTTCGTAGGTTCCGTTGGTATTCAATTTGTCGCCCTTCTAACCTTCGGACGGGGATCAAGGGCTGAGACTTGAGATGTCGATCTCCTAAGGTACAGAACACTGAACCCTTGACCTATACTCGTAGGGACTATCAGGAAACAAATAAAACAATGATTTTAAAATGACATTAATAATGATAAATGGACCCGTTTTGAACACTTCGAGTGTCAATACCGAATACCACGAATCATTGGAGCGCGGGCAGGCACAATCTTTGCCTGCCGTTATTCCAGATTTCTCTGGAACTATTTGGGGAGCTCGAAATCGAACGCACCAATGTCCCATTCTGACGCCCAACGCCCAAACTTCATATGCCCCAGAATCGAAATATTCTTAGCGGAAATCGAACGATTGCGGCGCCGAGGTGGTGCCAGTGTGGATCATTCTCCTTTCATCCCCTCGTTGATTGGCACTCTATAGGCACCCACAGGATTCGTTGCAATGTTGATTGAATACAACCAGTCATTTCTGATCGTCGAATGTGTGGTCATCCGAAGTCAGCCTAGCAAGTACCGCTGTGTTCTTCTCCCCCCTATTCCATTCTGTATCGCTCCCTATGTCAGTGTTCGCGCATGGTTCGATATTCCCCCACACAACATAACAAATACTTGCATCAGCGCTGCTTTCCAGACTATAACTGGGAATATGGGGCCCAATGAGATGGCGGTCCGGCGATCTGATAGAAAAGTGCGAACATCATAATCGAGAGGATTCGGATCCTAGCAACATGAACTCGTAGACGACGAGGTTGTCTCTGCAATAGTCAATATTTGCATTTTCACCATATTTTGTACAGGACCGGACGGATGACAGACCTGACCCGAAACTGTTCAGCTTTGATGTCTTGATCGAGTTGGTCTTCGATTGATGCTCTGATAGGCAGTGCCCAAATGAGCGCTTGCATTGCGCGCCAATGGTATAATCATGCCCAAGGCTGTGAGGTCATCAATATCATCGGTTTCTTTAGAACACTTAGAACTGCGAAATAGGCTGTCGATGGCGGTTACTTGATGTTCCAACTTCCGGATGGGCAATGCCCTGCATAGGATAAATACCAAGCCATTACTACCAGCAGAGTGCCGAGCAGCCCTCCGCTTACCCTGCGAAGCATGTCTACAGCTGACAATCACGGGAGACACACCATGCACATTGGCAAGAGTCAGAAAAAGATCTCGCAACAGATCTACCGTTCAACCGAGGCGGAAGACTTTTCACATCTGCGACAGACCATCCAAGACGTAACGCAGGAGAGTCCCCAGACACGACACGACATTCTGGTGAAAGGTTAGTAGAACAAAATATCGAGATGGAAGGGTTTGTTCACTCGAAATGGTAGCTGCTGAGATCATTAAGCAGTTCGATAGAGACTATCGTTCTCTTCTTTCAGAACACGCGGCTTTGACCTCTACTGGTACCGCCAGCTCTCCCAGGCAACAACTTGCCTTCTATCCTGGAAGTGAGTTAGTATTTCTGAATTTCGGGAGATCTTGCTGACGACATGCTAGTGTCACAATTTGCTGGTGAGAGTTGGTCAGCGAACCATGGCCACCAAACTATGCCGATGCATCCACATACTCCACCTTCATTAGCACACAGCATGTATGCTGGACAGATCATGGATGATCCTACACAGAGCTATCCATATTTTACCTACCAATAATTGTGGTGATCACAGACGAGCGAGAACGCGGAGAGAGCTTATAAGACAAATATATCATCTCAGTCTTCGATACGAACTGAGATGTTCGAACGAGGGACTTAGTAACCTTATACGTAGTTAGCATAGTGATAGAAAGAAAATTTCGTAGCACAGGAATTGACACTTTATAACATACTATATGACGGCCGACGTCAAACCTCGTACTGTTGCGCTCGCAATCTCTCATTGTGACGTCTCCGGCTCGGACTTCGATCCGGAATCCAACAATAATTTGGCACTCGAACCATAGTGTAGCATTTTCTGGAAGAAGTACCACCTCTGCAAGTATAAAGACGTTCTATCAGATCACGCACGCCATTGAATAGGGGCGTATTGACTGATCAAACAAAATCTCATTACGATAAGCAATTCAAGATTCCCTCAATTCTCTTGTCAACCGGCTTAATCAACAGTCATTAGTGTCAGCTCATATCAAACCAGTATTATTAGCCATACCGACTCATTCTGCACGCGTAAACAACGGGCAGTTCGATACATAGGCACCGCGTACCGTGTAGCTCGAATCCAGACGCGTGATGAGGTTCAGTCAGGGAAGCGAAGGCCCTGGTGCGAGGGGTCTTTGAGTCGCACTAGAAAATCAAGCGTGGTCTATGAAATCTGGTCAGGAATGAAGATTTGATCGTCCATCAAGTGCGCGTCAAAGAACCAGCATATACCAGCCAGTTTTTGGAGGTTGCGTAATGCGACTTGCTGACCGTCTTTGAGGTCTACGCTGCTTCTCTCTTCATTCACTACACCATCACCAATTGACCTTGCTCGGCATCTCCTGTTGCACAAGAATTGACGGATGAGGACCTCACTAGAAAACAACCCAACCTGGTGCTCACAGAAATGCTATCTCAGGCGAAAGGGGTCAAAGACACAACCGAAACAAATGCCTTCCGAGCAAACAGGAAGGTGGGTAAGCAAACTCTGAGGTAACGATAGGCGTATTGCAATCAGTGTTGGGCGCTGATCGCTCTCCCAAAATGTCGTGGAGATTTTGCGGCGGTTGCGATAAAAAGAAAGTTGGCGGGATGACGAGAACAGGAACATGATAAGAAATGTGTACCAGCGACTGGTACGGACAGACGGAAAATCAGTCAAAGGTGACGTGGCTTCCTGTAGAATAGGTTCAGCATCATATTTGAAGGCTCTGCGCCCTGGACCAGCAAAAAAAGTTATCGTGCGACATTGAAAAAACCATCGACAGCGGCGATGATATACCATAAGTTTGACAAATAATGATATATCGGGGAATGTGGCAGCACACACGAACACTAATCTAGGGGGACGACCCACGCGACAGGGAGCGAGCAACACACCAGGAGATCAGAAGATAAACCCGGACCCAATGAGGAGTTGCCGATTCAAAACCTCGGATCAACCCATGAGCGACTTCGAATGAACGCCCATTTGATGATAGATAGTACTGATTACTTCAATGAAAATCAACACCAGCGAAAGCTGTGCACGTCGATAGTGCGGACCCAAGAAGAGATTAGAGGATGTCCGCAGCTGTCGGATCTTCGATAATAATATTCCATGGAACAGAGCTCGACATGTCTACCAGTCTACCTTGCAATGGCAGTGGTCGGAATAACTTCAACTAGCTTCCCGGTGCGTGTCCAAGACTCGATCATGTCATAGTCATAGCAGTGTGCACCAGTACAGCTATATCCATGCGGGAAAGAAGCATGTTGCCTTGGGACATTGCTAGTGCGCTGGCCGGATTTTGACTGGCATAACGGTCGCTCGCAGTTGAGATATCGGCGAGTTCGTTTCTCGACGGTCGAAGGATGGGGTCCATTCAATACTGGTATTGTTCAACAATTGCAGTGATAGTCGAGGACTTGTCAAGTCACATCTAGAAAGGTGCGGCAACACAAGTTGGAGCATGTGTCCGAGGCACGGGCATCTTCAGACTGGACATGTATGATAAAAGCATCCCGTGTCGAATGTCAAATGAATGCCGTGAAGAAAAACACCCAGTGCACGCACCTCTGCAGCTCAGCGCAAGACACCACGGCGAGTGACAACCTCTCTACCAAGTGCACTTCGACCGTGCTGAACACCACCAGCTCCCATTAAAATGACGTAGCTCGTTCAAGCACCACACCTATTCGAGAGTGTAAAAATCGTGATGGAACGGTATTCGCAGTCGCAGTTTTCCCCGATTGACACCGAATGGCCAGCGACTGTGGAGACAAGGCTGTTTTTCTGTGGGCTTGAAGAAAGGTTTAAGGCATGTTGTTGAAAAAAATGAACGAGGATCGCGATGAGGTAGGCACTGGCGGTGTTGGGAGATGGACAATTCATAGTAAGCGGTGATGGAGAGCTCATCGCCTGGCATAGAGAAATAGAGCAACTGCATGAAGTTAAAACCTAGGGCGAGCCATCCAATTAGCCAACTCGCATCAAATCTTCTCGATGGACATTTCTCTCCAGACGGAACAGAGTTGCCAATTGCAATTGGTATCGACATCAATATGATTTACGTACTCGTTGAAGCTGTGGTGCGTGTTGGAGAGGGCCAGGCCTCGACAGCTGGAGAAACAGACCGAGCTCCGAAGCACTGGGGTGGTAAAAGCAATGAATCTCGACCTAACCCTAAGACAGGCTCTATCTATGGACTCTGTGACCTCTGACACCTCCATCGGACCTCTGACACTCATCGCTGAAGCCCCTGGAGCCAAGCCTCCCTACTACAGCGTCACGGACTGCGCCTGCTGCTAACTAGTACTTCGCATTCCTAGTTTCCTCCAAATGTGTCACTAGTGGCACACGACGACGACGACCACACCAAGCACACTACGAAGCACAACGCAAGACAACTTCAACAGTTGCACAGCTTATTCGTATTAATTACAGCCATGGGTATCAATAAATTCCCCTTGAGACTATCGAGCTGCTCATGAAATACTTAATTAGGCTGATTTGCATTGACTGCTGACGGTGACTTTGTGGAATTACATGGGCTATCAACAGCAGAAGCAGAAACAATGGGCATCGAGGACGGCAGTCCGACGTGTTGCCCGCCGTAAATGGAGGTGAAGAAAGGGAGGGTGATACTCCACTACGAAGCTTCGGAGCAGGATGGCCAAACCGAGCGTCGTAGGGGAAGAACTCGGTCTAGGAACAAGCAGACGTGAAAAATTGTCAGTAGCATATACATAAAATAAAATGAACAAAACCATCAGGCTTGTCGCCTCCAAGAGGCGTGTTGGACCAGGGATGTAATGGTTCGCCGCGCCGCCGAGGGACAACAAAACGAACAAAAAAACTCACCAACCATCGTGCCGGCAGTTGTCCGTGCGTTCTGGGGGTGAGCGCACTGTGGTGATCACAGTCGAGCGGGAGCGGAGTAAGAGCTGAGAAAACAATGTATATCTCAGTGTCTAGAAGAAACTGGCGTAGCACAATGTAAGGTCATGTCTGGACAACGAGTAACAAAAATTCAAATTCAACTGAACCAAGTCACATGGTCTGGGAGATCCCGGATCACACAGATTCTTTCCCACACAGGCCACCTTGCTTACCCGCCGTGACCGCCATGTCATCCAATTCATCAAGCAACAGTGATGAATCTACTCGTTCCCTTCGTTCTCGTGGTACCATTGATCCAGTAGAACTGAAGAAGAAACAAAGCAAAAGAAAGCCTCCTGCCTCCTGGACACCAGAAGAAGAAACTGTTCTTGTTGAATTTCTGTTATCTCAGTTCTCTGCAAGTGGCGATGGAAATCCCAAGGGTACAACATTCACTGATGCTGCAAGTCTACTGAAGAAGAGATTCCCAAATGCATCTGGTGCTGAGAAGACAGCTAGTGTTTGTAGGAACAAGTGGCAAAGTGTATGTTATATGACCGTGTTGCCAGTGACTGGGGAAAACTCAAAGAATATATGCTTTGTAGCTCAAAGCAGCATATAACGCCGTCATAGATATCAAGAACACATCGGGATTTACATGGAGTGATGAGTATGGAGCCGGAATAGTTAGAAAGAATGACGATGTCTGGGATCGGTACACCAAGGTATGTACCAGTGTTGCCACTGCTGCACCTGGCACTACTAATAACGCAATCACTCAGCGACACCCTGCAGCAAAACCATACAAAAACAAGGGCTTCAAACATTTCAGTGCTATGGAGCAGATGACGCCAAGGATTTCAAAAGGATCGCATGTCTATCGACGACCCCCAGCGCCCACCAGCAATGACATCCCTCAGCCTACTCCTCCCCCCTTTAATCTCGACCAGCTTACCTCTGCGACCAAAGATGTCATCATGCAAGCCAGTGGTAGTGGGCTTCTTCGCACTCCTGGGCCATCAGCCACTTCCGGTGATCCCTCATCAATATCGCCCTCTACTCCATCTAGTTTCCTCGCCTCTTCTGCTGGTGGCTCAGCCCCCTCGTCTGTGTTGACGAGTGTTAGCCGCAGCGCAAAGCGCAAAGTCAGTTCTACACCCTCGATAATTGAATCAGAAACAAGCGCTCGAAAACGTTCATGCCGGCCGCTATCTGTAACTGCCCAGGCACAGAAGGATGGGTCTGAGACGATGAAGGAGCTTGCCGTTTATATCAAAGACTTCCTCCAAGCCCCCCAGGTGACTCAGGCGGCGTCATTTGACCCCCTTGCTTGTGCTGTTGTCTTGTTATCAGAACATAAGACTCTTACAGCGGATGATCAGCTTGAGATCGCAGACTACTTCGCGAGGGACAAGGCACAGGCTGTGATTTTCTCCAATTTTCCAGAGACAACTCGAGCTGCCTGGTTGGAGAAAACTCTCCGCAAACTCAAGTCTAACACAAGTCATGACGATGATGTAGTAATGGTATAGAAGTTCGAACTTGAAGGCTTGTAACCAGCGGTTCCATCGAGTGTAGTACTACTAGTACAGGCTATGACGATGTAATCTACCCTGGCAATGGAAGTCCTCGTTGCCTATGCTCATCGAGATAGTCATCCCACATTTCCTTTGCGATTCTCTCCCGCCGCTGATCTGCTCTTCTCCGTTCCACCGCATCAGCTGGTCCATCACCAAGTTCGCCTAATGCAACATCTTGATTAATTTCGAGAAGGTTTCCATCAGAATCGAGGTCAAAGTTATCAGGATGATACTTCTGAATGAAGTTGTGCAGTGCACATAGCGCTGCAGGGATCCGAGCCTGAATATCCATGTTATATTCAGGGACATGCCGCAAGATGCCCCATTGACGCTTCA